TTTTTCCATTAAATATGGTTTTATGGAAGGTTTTTCATCACAGGACGTAATTAGTGGAATGACATTAATGCACCGGTTACATATTCTTTCATTGAGTTCATTTTTGGCAGCTAGTATTCTGGATGTTTTTAAACTCATGCCAAGTATTTTTAGTTAATAATATATTAACATAGTAAATCCTAAATTAATATATATTACTGATGCATTTGTGAATTTTGGCCTTTTCTAAAACAAAAAGGCCCAAGTTCCAAATGATTTCATCTTTTCTACCCGTTGGAAATCGCACTCACATATGACATATCAATTGCGTTGCGTTGCGTAGCCAATGTAAATTCCAACGGAGCCAGGACGCTCAACCATGTCACCTCGTCGGGTGCTAGCTCCGTCACTGCCCATGTCTCTTCATTTTCCTGGCCAAATAATTAGGCACAAGTCAATAACTAGAGAGAAAAAATCTCATTCCACGTGTTTGGATATGTTTGCCTAATCTTAAGAAAAACAAAACAAAAATTACATCTAAGTATTTTATTTTTCTACATGTGATTACACGTTGCTTTTTTTCCCCCCCTTATTTTTAAGCAATAAAAGTTACTTAAGAGCTTATTATAAAAATTAAATAAATTCTTGTTAATCAATATTAGAAAATAAAGAAGTCACTTGTTATAAGCTATAATTTACTTTTAAGTAAAACAGTTTAAAGTTAGCAAAGCATTAGCAGACACGATTTTTATTTATGAATAAAGCCGTACAATTCTCTATTTATAGCCCCGGTTTGTTTCACATTAGTAGAAAAAAATGGACCCTTAGTACAGTAGAATAGCAGTCATATTTGACCAGTTTGTGTGCTGGTGAGTCCCACTTAGTTTGAAAAAAAGGTACAAATTTTCATTTTCTTGCTTAAATAATGCGATACAAGTAGGGCATATTAAGAAATAGAATGTACATGTGATTCTTGGATTGTCTACGCTGGTTTGACTTCTATAACTACGAGAGTTTGATTTAGGGGGCATAATTTTTCCAAATATGTCTTTAATGACCAAATGTAATAATGTTACAAGTTATTAATGATGAAGTGTTGAGTACGTTGTTGCGATTGGTACTATACTAGAATATCAAAATCAAAGAAATTATCAACATACAATCTGCATGCAGGTTTAATTCGACAAAAGAGAAATTAAGATAAAAAGAAAACAGAATAAACTAGACTAGTAGTGGCAAACAGGCCGAGCGGCTCGACCGCTCGACTCTTGAAAAGTCAGTTCGTGGGTGATTCGAGCTCGTCAAATGACGAGCTCGAGCACGAGTCGAACGGGCTACTTGCTAGGCTCAGCTTGCCCACGGGCGAGCCTTGGTGAAGGGTCAATATTTTTTTTAAAAAAAATTTATCTTTAAAAAATAAAAAATTGACGAGCTCGCGAGCCGAGCTCAACTCCACAAGTAACGAGCCGAGCTCATGTGTATACTAGCCGAGCCGATTGCCATCTCTAAACTAGACAATGCCTAAATTAGGCTTGCTTTTTAAGTAAACATTTTAAGCTTATCCAAGCATGCAATTGGTCTGAGTGAGGGCCTCAATAATTACAAGGTATCGTGTTTGGTTTTGGTCCGAGCAAGTGTACATGTAGCATGGTTCTGATAACTTTGAATTATTTTGTGGGGGTGACGATTTAGCCCTAGTGAGACGTGGCCAATGTTGGTAGATGGGTCATAGAGTGAATATATGTTGAGCTATAAAACTTCACCCGTCCTAACTTCACTTGATCTAACTAGTGTGTCTAGACGGACCATGAATTCCTTTGCAACAGTCTCCCAAAAATTAATATTTTTTTTTTTCCTTTTGTGCTCTAAACATTTCAAACTATGACCTTGTTTGAACCACCTTTTTGCAGAGTGAGAATGAAAAATATAGCAGTTATTTGGGCCCACACTAGATATAGAAATTCAAAATTGATGGCTTGTTGTGATAGATAACGGTCATATTTTTCATTTTTATGAATGAAAANGAAAATTTGAATTTTAATGTTGATGTGATGGATAACGGTCATATTTTTTTCATGTCAATGATAAAATAAGGTGACCCAAGCGGGGGTTATATGAATTATCACAAACCATGTAGCCATGTACAACACAACATGAACTAGTTATTTGCAGTTCAAGAGTTCTTGTTTGGATGTGATAGTTCATACTATCCGTACACGGTATCTCGATATAAGATTTCAATTTTTTCATGCTGTAGTAATAACATCGTTTCATAAAGTTAAGGTCTAAAATCTAGAAGAAAATCCATATTATCAAATGATTCATTGTAATTATTTCTAGTAACGAGTAAATTATCCACTTTGGTTCAATAGTGGAATTTCATTGAACAAAAGGGTAATGTTATTCCCTCATTTATCAATAATTTCATTTTTTTATCAAGATGTATAACTATCATTTCATCTACGAGAAGGATTTCTAGTTTTATAGACCAACTTACCATTTTAAGAGTCGTTGAAAAATAAACCATTGCTTTGAGCTATAAACATTTCAAACTCTATGATACAACATGAACTAGTTATTCGCAGTTCAATAATTCTTATTTGGATTGGATAATTCATACTATCAATACATAGTACCTGGATATAAAATTTCAATTTTTTTGTGCTTTAGCAATAACATTATTTCAAAGTTAAGGTCCAAAATCTGAAAGAAAATAAAATTTAAATTATCAAATGATTCCCTGCAATTATTTATAGTAAGGAGTAAATTATCCACTCACGTTCAATAGTTGGATTTCATTGAACAAAAGGGCGATATTATTCCTCCATTAATTAAGAATTTCATTTTTTAAAGACGCATCGTGATCATCGATGACAAGGATTTCTATTTTTATAGACGAACTTACCATTTTAAGAGTCGTTGAAAAATAAACCCTTTCCTTTATTCATTCCATCGTTTTGGTCCTCGAAGAAATTCTTCGAAGGACACACACCTTACACGAGCAGGTCATCAACCCAAACCCCTACGCCACCCACAACAATCCCTACTCAGCAGCCGCTGAAGTCTGAACAGTTCACTCCCACAAAAACCCAGCGTTTCAATTTTCTTCTCTCTTTCTTCCCCATCTCCCTCGATCCAAAATCAGCTTCATGAATCTCACCTCCTAACTGAAAGCATCCATCCATATTCATGAATGGCGTCCTCCGCTCCTCCTCCGCCGCCGCCTCCGCCTCCGCCTCCGCCGTATTCCGATTCGGAATGATACGATCAACCGCTGTCTCCACCATCAAACCGGTACCATTACTATCCTCCAGTCATTCTTCTGTTTTTTTCCTGTTGGCATTTACCAAACCCTTCTCATTTTCAATTGCCTCTGAAACTACCGATCCACTACCCGTTTCCACCCCCATTGCCATTGACCTTTCTTCTCAACTCCTCTCCCTCCTTTCACATCCCAATTGGCAAAAACACCCTTCCTTCAGAAAGCTAATCCCTGCAATATCCCCTTCTGTTTTCTCGTCGTTCCTCTCCCAATACCCCCATCTTAATCCCCAAACTGCGCTTAATTTCTTCTATTTTCTCTCCCGTACCCCCAGTTTTACACCCAATGTTCAAGCGTGTTCTTCTCTTTTGCGCATTTTGATCCCCAATAAATTTCTTGGGGTCGCCGAAAAAATACGAATTTTAATGATTAAGTCCTGTGAAACTGCAGAAGACGCAAGTTTTGTGTTGAATATATGTCGGGAGATGAATACTTCTGATAATGATTACAGATTTAAGCTCAGCATTAGGTGTTACAACACGCTCTTGATGTCATTGGCGCGTTTTCTTATGGTTGATGATATGAAATGTGTTTATACGGAGATGTTAGATGATAAGCTCTCGCCGAATATATACACTTTCAATACAATGATTAATGCATATTGTAAATTGGGTAATGTGAGGGAGGCTGAGTTGTACATAAGTAAGATTTTGCAGGCCGGGTTGAGGCCAGATACACATACGTACACTTCATTGATTTTAGGTCATTGCAGGAGGAGTGATGTAAATAATGCGAATAAAGTTTTTGTGGAAATGCCACAAAAAGGTTGTCGGAGGAATGAGGTTTCTTACAATAATTTGATGCATGGGCTGTGTGAATCTGGGAGGGTAGATGAGGCGAAGAAGTTATTTTTGCAAATGGGTGATGATAATTGTTGTCCTAATGTCCGGACATACACTATTTTGATTGATGCACTGTATGGTTCAGGTAGGAGTTTGGAAGCTCTGAGCTTGTTTCAGGAGATGAAGGAGAAAGGTTGTGAGCCAAATGTTCACACTTATACAGCTGTTCTCGATGGTACTTGTAAAGATGGTAAACTTGATGAAGCAAGGAGATTATTTGATGCAATGTTAGATAACAGGTTGGTTCCTAGTGTGGGGACATTTAATGCTTTGATTGATGGGCACTGTAAGAAGGGATTTATTGATGCTGCTTTTGATATATTTGCCATGATGGAATCAAATAATTGTCATCCAGATGTTAGAACCTACAATGAGTTAATATCCGGATATTGTGAGGTAAAACAAGTGTATAAGGCAATGTCACTTCTTAGTAAGATGCTAGAGCAGAAGTTGTCTCCGAATCTTGTAACTTTCAACTTATTAGTATGTGGACAATGTAATGAGGGTGATATAGATAGCGCTTTTAGGCTGCTCAGGTTAATGGAAGAGCAAAATGTAGTTCCTGACCAGTTAACTTATGGTGCTCTCATTGATGCATTATGTGAAAGAGGGGCGGTTGAGAAAGCTTATCATGTATACGACTCTCTCAAGGAGAATGGTTTAAATTCAAATGAAGTTATATACACTACTCTGATTGATGGATTCTGCAAGGCAGGGAAGTTTGATTTTGCCCTAACTTTGTTTGGAAGAATGAGTAGTGAGGGCTTCCGTCCGAACTCATACACTTACAATGTGCTGATTAGTGGCCTGTGCAAAGAGAAAAAATTGCCTGAAGCAGCAGAATTTCTGGAAAGGATGCTGGAAGAAGGTGTGAAACCTACAATTGTTACTTACACTATTCTCATTGAGCAAATGTTAAAAGAATATGCCTTTGATCATGCTTATAGGGTATTTCATCAGATGGTCTCCCTGGGAAATAAACCTGACATTTGCACATACACTTCATTTCTCGTCGCATATTGCAACCAAGGTAAGTTGAAAGAAGCAGAGGATATGATGGCTAAAATGAAAGAAGAAGGGGTGCAACCAGATTTCAAGGCTTACACAGTATTAATTGATGGATATGGACGTTCAGGTTTACTAGATCGTGCTTTTGATATGCTCAAATGTATGGTTGATGCTAGATGTGAACCATCTCATTATACCTACTCTGTTTTAATCAAACATCTCTTACATGAGAAACGAATGAATGGAAGTGGTTGTAGAACGGGACTTGATCCAAAAACAGAAGAAAACTTAATTAATATTGCAGATGTCTGGAAACTAATGGAATATGATACGGCTCTTAAGCTCTTCGAGAAAATGGTTGGCATTGGTTGCTCACCAAATGTTAACACTTATAATGCACTCACCACTGGACTGTGCCGAGAAGGACGTCTCGAAGAAGCCTGGAGGTTGGTTGATCATATGAAACAATGTGGAATGTCTCCCAATGAAGATATGTATAATGCACTGGTGAATTGTTGCTGCAAGTTGAAAATGTATGAGGAAGCAATGAAGATACTTGATACCATGCTCAAGCTTGGACTTCTACCACATATAGAATCCTATAAGCTGCTTGTTTGTGGATTGTATGACGAAGGGAATGATGAGAAGGCTAAGTCTGCATTTTGTATGCTTATTCAATGTGGTTACAATTATGATGAAGTTGCTTGGAAGCTTCTGATTGACGGGTTGTTGAAAAGGGGGCTTGTTGATAGATGCTCTGAGCTGGTAAATGTCATGGAGAAACTTGGTTGCCAGCTTAATCCACAAACTCATACAATGTTAATTCAGGGGTTTCTTGATAAAAATGAGGGCATATAGGATATAATATCCTTCACATGACACTTGATTGGTCTGCACATTGGCAAGGGTTATTTTCATAAGTTCTTTGCTTGTGTTGCGAGGCAAAAGATGGGCAAATTTATGATGAGAGACTTGAAATGCTTGTTTGAACTTTACCTTGATCCAGTAATTACCTTGTATCATCCTAAATTTTGCAATTGTGATCAAAAGGCCAAATTACTTCTCGTGGAAGTTTTCTAGGACGGTCACTCTATACAGCAGGAAAATTTCCTCCAACAAATGGGAGGCAAGTGACCATCTTGACTTTCTTTTCCCCCTTTATCAATTTCTCATTTTGATAGATAATTGATCAGTTCAAATTCTCTCTATGCATTGTTGACCTAGCTAGCCTATTTGATCCTTGTGGACTTACCAATTTTAGGGGAGTGTGACGCAATTCTTTTACTCTTAAACCGAAGGATCATTTCATATTCGCAAGACTTGCTAATTCATACAGCTTCGGATTTGAGAATTAGCAATGACTTGTGCATACTGGTTGATGATGATGATAAACGATGACATGAAAGAGAGGTACAAGTAGGAGAATATAGAGAAAATGAGAAATCAGATGATTAACAAAAACAAATTGTTCTTACATTAAAAAATATAAAAGCATGTTGGCAGGTTTATGCTATGTGTAGAATTTATGATGGATGCATTTTGCTCCTTCCTGCTAATACTGCAAAGCAACAGGAGGTTGTTCTTTTCCTTCCCCTCATGCAAATAATTAACTCTTTTTCCCACTTATCATCTCTCTGTAGATCTTGTTTGCTTTCCAACTCAGCATTAAGTAAGTCAAGGGGAAGAAGGCATCAACTCCCCAGGCTGCAAGGTTTGTTCCTCTTCCTTCGCTTGTCTTTCCCCTTGTGTCTAAGATAGCTCCTGTATATATGACTTTTGGAGCAAGACATATGCTACATAAGTTTAAAATAGCATGACTTGTAGATAGGGGCGGACGCAGAAGTTTAAAGTTAGGGGGGCACAATCAAACTTGCAAAGAAGTTGATAGAAATTTTATAATTGAAAATTTATGTCCAAAAAAATCATACCCTATGTGATTTTGCATCCGAAAATTTACATGAGATATGACTTTTTCAGATGTAAAATTTTGAAATTTTTTGATGTCATAATCCATATAAAATTTCCTAATAAAATGATGAAAATTATATTGAGAAATTTGTATCGCAAAAATAATAAATGTTAATGAAATAATTGATTTTTTTTTTTTTTAAAAAAAGTGAGTTATACGTCTTTCTTTAAGACTCATGTTTAACTATTTTCGATATCTGTTTGGACTATTCTATATGCCTATAATGTAGTTTTCGCGATAAAATTTTCGATGACTGCAGCTGAGAACATAAAATTTTTGCGATGTCTCTTTTTGACCATCTGACTTTCAATTTTGGCTTTGTAGGGCAAACCATTGTTCATTGATATATCAGGAAAGGGTGCCTCTGGTTTCATCCTGTGGTAATACAAAATTTGGAGGTTCTGCTAGTACACTAAATTCAACTTAAGCAATATCACAAGGTAAATAGGTTTGTTTGGAGCATAACATTCAGTGTCACCATTTAGCACTGTGTGTAATGTAGGCATGAGTTTTTTCTTGTATTCATGCAGACTCTCAATCAAATGGTCCTTCAGCAATTCTAATCTAATGGTCTTAAATTTTAAAAGGTCCTGGAGCACTCCTATGCTTGACAGCTTCTTGTGCTGCAATTGCCCAACCACCATCCCAACTTGGATCTTTATTTTCCTAGATGGGTTGAAATTAATGCTTCTTTGGAAGGCAAGGAGAATATGTTAACATGAGTTTTTATGACTTCTAAATACAATGTTTCATACAGTACTACTCAAGAATCACAAAAGTACAACTTTTGCAGTGTACATCTAGATATGTTGCTAGGCAAATCATAACTATAGGTCTAGGATGAGGGAGGGGAGTCGGTGCAACTTATATTGGCAAGCAACTATTTAAATATTGTTTTGAGACTTTATGAAACAGATAAGGTGAGAAACCAATCACATAATTACCCAAGAATGATTGAGATGACTTTGAGTTTTGAGTTATGGTTTCAGATAATCAATTTGGGTTTATATCTGGGAATCAGGTGAGTCAGAAAGCATGTTTGGTAGAAGTGTTGGATATGGCTGTGGATGTAGGGATTTAGGTGAGATGTGAAAGTTTTCAGATTTTAGCACCTTTGGATTCTTAAAAAGAGAGTTTCCAAATGCTTGCAAGACAACTATTGTTGTATACTCACATGTCATTAATGGCCCAACATTTTATACCTCAAGTTTAGTTGGTCTAATATCCCATTCTCTAGAACTTACCATTTAACTGGAGGCATATTCACACTGCATAAAATTCTACTTAACAGTCTGGTTCAAACCCACTTTAATCTGGATTATTACATTCTCGTCAGTTCCTTCTTACCAATAATTTTTTTTGAATTGAAGTTCTTCTTACCAATAATCCAACTTAAATTCCTAAAGGAATAGCTCTTGGACAATATGATCATTTTATTTTTTACTTCATTATCATTTGTCGTCCTACTAATGATTAAAAAGAGCCTCATTATATTTGTCTCAAGTCTAGAGTGTGTTCTCATTTTTGTCGTCTTCACACACTCCGTCACTTCTGAGAGTAGTATCCTTCTAATCTAGTTAAAAAATTTATTTTCAACGAAGTTTGGAAGATCCCTAAGATCACGCTTTCTTCTATTAATCAATCCCTATCATATTGACAACCTTCTAGTTGCTTTTTCAGATGTTAAAGTTACGTCTAACAATTTTCAAGTGTTTTCTGACTGTTACGATATCCAGCAGTTGCAGCTCATTTGTTTAGGCTTGTCCTTTGCCTTTGAGTCTTTATTTTTTCTTGTCTTTCAAAAGTTCTTATAAGCTTGAGTCCCCAACTTACTAAATGTGGCACTTAAGTGTTCCTGCCTGACAGATATTATCCATTTGACTGTTAAAAATTAATTTTTCGTTTTAAAATGACAGTTATACCCTATTTTCAATTAAAACAAAAGAAGAAAAGAATAAAGAAAAATAGAAAAAATCTGTCATCTCTTTCCCAGCCCTAACCCTGCCAAATCTCCCTCCGACGAACCTTGTAGAGGACGACTTAAGACGTTGTATGGTCATAGCATAGATTTGTTTGGTGCTTGGGCAAGTGCCTGGCAGGCTGAGCACTGCCAAATCAGAGACAGAGGCAGCCCGGCTTCTCCATATTATCTTCTTAGAGTGATGGGCTTTTTTCACTGGTCCATTTTATCTTCTTCATGGTGGGAGGGTGCCTTTGTGGGGGTTGGGGATTTTCTGCTTGGGTTTTCTTTGATTTTTCTCGTTCTCGTTTTCGTTTCCTTTTCTATTTCTTGGTTTAATTCAAATAAGGGGACATTTGTCCATTTAAGAAAAACTTGACTTTTTAAATTCAAACTAACCCTTTCCGTCAGGTAAGCACTATCCACGCACTGTTTTGAAAGGTTGGGGATCCGTGTGCCACAGAGAGAAGGTTGAGGCCCTCAGCTGGAATTTACCCTGTAACTTTGATACTTACATTCGTCATGCATCCTCCTTAGATGTAAATGTTTGTGGTTGATGTGGAGTACACCAAGGGGAATTATCGTTCCTTTTTGTGATACCTTAAGTTCCAACACGTTATTTGAATGGAAAATAGAATGAGCGTAATTTTTTAAAGCCTTTTATTGAATCAACAAGATAACAGAATGTAATGTAATTGTTATAGCCTCTTAATAAAAAATTCAACTGTGAAATAATTATTAGAACTCAAAGGAACTTCTTCTAAAGTCTTTATTACGAGGTCTAATATATTTGAGTTTTGAATTTGCAGAGAAAGTCCCCCCGAGTAAATATACGTAATGCATCCTTCTTGGAACTAACATGTTGCAAAGTGGTGAGCAACAGATTACCTGATTTTGGAAGTCAGGAAGCTAGCTTGCTGTATTTCCATCCTATGGTATTCAATATCCATTTTACATGGTACTTTATTGTTGATACTGAATTTTATTTCTATTATTTGTACAAAAATCGAATAAACTCTGTTTATTTTCTGTATCACTGATATTTCTTGAAGGCAATCAAATGATAAGTGTAACATAGGTGATTTTTTTTTTTTAATAATTGCACAGCCCTTTTCTACTTGTCTTATTACCTACCTGTCAATTTGTTTCATGATCAACCAATGGTGACGAAGTGAGACGACATATCTTAAGTTCCC